TGTTAACCGTTTTAGCGCGGCCAACACTTTGAAAAATTAAAGCAAAACGTTGTATGTTTTACTTTCGTGGTTCATTGGTACTCCATACAATGAACCACAAACGAACCAATCAAATAAAATGCATCGTTAGCTATCTTCAGCCAGCCAGACATCGTTAGCACTGAACGCTCATGGACAGCGTAAGCCTCAATTAGCTGGCTAACAAACCTTTGTGAAACACCCTCACGTTTAAGTATTTTCTTTGGGATGAGGGACCACATTTCACACCGATACAAAACAAATAAATTTACAGATTCTTGTAATCTTATTTTACGTTTAGATAGGAGACGAAAAGACAAAATATTATGAACTGAATAGCAGCAAACCTTCATCTTTATTTCTTCGTAAATATATTTTTGATTTGATACAGTAGTTTCTAATTCTATAAGCCAGTGCGTATATTGTCACGACAGACTTACCTGAAGTCGTTGAGGCGGTTCAAGAAAGTGCTCTTGTTGTCCAGAAGAACAGTGCTGTTTTCAGTTTCCGGAACTTTCACTGGTGGCCAAGTACTCATATTACTCAGAGCCTGATTCGTGAGTGCAAATCTGTGGTCCAATCCCGACCTGGAAGACAAACAGAAACATCTCAGTAACTGTTTACCATAAGAAGGGATTTCAGTATACAATAGACTTACAGTGAATTAATTGTTTCATTACTTCAATGATTTGAGGCTCTTATAGTGATGGAGATGCCAGTTGTGATCCTCTGGGTTGTTACGCCTACCAACATGGCGTCACAATCCACAAGAACACGATAGGCAGCTACTGAATTGAAATTTATATATAAATATGTTCTGAGAAATTGCCTGCCTTTGGAAAATATACATGTTTTCGTATTAAAATCTTATATAAGATTCAGTAAAAGCAAATGCAATTTTTATGTAATTCGTTTATGAAGTCGTTATTGTTTATTTCTCCTATGATATATTCCTGTAAATTCTCTCCCGGTTTTAAGCGCTATTAATGTCACTCCTCCGTTCACTAGTTAGACATCACAAGGGATTCGAAATTCTCTTGGTGCACGTATATCAAAGCCACGGTTCGCTTCAACAGCCACATTGGTCTGCCAGTCCCTCCACAATTCTCCCTTGTCTTTGACACAATCCTATAAGCAGAAATCTATTTCCGAGAGTCTGTAGTTTGACAGCTATGGGGAACTAGTCCATCCAGCATTCTGGTTAAAGGGTAAAACTATTACAAACCCCGACATCTGGAGTTTAATTCTAGTTTCATGTACATCTTCAGCCAGGCTTAGAATAATTCGAATCAAATGGTAAACATTGTACACTACTGTTTGCTTGTAAAAACAAATGTCAGAGAACTCTTATTTTATAAGACGAACGGGGATGCGTGACTCGCTACGGACTGGACAAGTTGAATTTGAATATCGAAAGGGACAGGAAGCTTTCAGTTCATCACAGCTTTCAGAACGCTACTAAGTTCCAACCAGCCTCGTAGGAATTTGGATTTTGACAGCTCTACACTCGGGATTAAGGTAGCCGAGAAATTCTATCTGTGGCTGGTGGCTATTGATCGGTTCTTAGGTCTTTACCCTTTGATCGCTATACGAATTGGTTCTTGCTTTCATTAACAACTTTATCCTCTTGTCATTAGGCTAACTTAATGCTCCAGCCTTTAATAGTAGATGGATATATGATAATGAAACGTGGTTAATACTGTCAAAGTTAATGTAAACTTACGAGCAGGGCTGTTTATATTAGGGTAAGAGATGTGATACACAGCTAACCCTTTCCATTCTATGAATAAGATATCGCTCAGAAACACAAACTGTCTGTTCTGTACAATTTGGTGTTTAATAATGTAGGCGAAAATATCCTTCCCTGCTGAGTCGTTACAGTATCGAAGTTTCCAAGGGCACATATGAAAAAATTCGATGTTTCAAGTTAAATAATATTCATAATGGAAAGACTAAAAAATAAAGTTGAGTGATAAAGTTACGCACAATTCTGCAAAACGGTCTTCTCTTCCACTTTATTTAATTTACCAAAATAGCTACAGCTTAAAGAACGTGGTCATTCAAGCTGAGCAGACTGTACTTCACACAGAGCTACCGAAGTGAAGAACAAAGTTCATCTGCTTTTGATGATAGGTTTTAGTATATTTACGTAGTTCTGGTTCAAAGAAAAACGTTTTCTATTCCATAAATTGCTATTTACAGAGTACCGCGTTTATTTCCAAAGCCTTCAAACAGCAACGCAGTTGGAAATCTTGATTGCTTTCTTTTCCAGAACAGTCACTACGCAAATTCTACGTCTTTGCGGATGCTGTACAAAAGTGTGTTGATGACATCAAGATCTTTCAAGCATGAGGAATTCTCTGCCGAGCAATGAACACTGGGATATAATTTTATGATCTGTGGGATTTTAATCTATAGCGAAGAATCCTGAACAGATGTTTTCTTTGTAATTCTGACCTAGATTTAATGCACAGCACACACCAAAATAAAGAGCACTTCAGATACCCGCTATATACGTATTAGCTTTGTTATATTCGGTTCTATATCGATTCTGGACGTGTATTATACAGTATAGTACATTCGTGTATAGTCTGATGAAGTCATTTTTAAAGCTGAGTTAGTGGCAGAGCCATAAAATTGCATTATGGGAATTTATAATGACCCATCAAACACAGCAAAAATAGGTGAATCAGAAATAGGAGAACACAATATGATTAATAATTTGATATTAATCTAGACGAATTGTGGAGGTGCCTATTCTGAACATGAGTCCGTTTACTATATGTTAAAATGTGTTTATTCTGTCTGAGTGAATGTTGGGTTATTTCGCTCAAATAGACCTCAACCTCCTCCTCCTTCCAAATATTTGCCTACTCATAATTCATGACTATCTAATTTGACACTGTGTAGGAGTAATATATTCAACTGAAGCAACGTTGTTTAGTAACCCAAGAAGCACTCAATCGAAGACGAATTAACTACTGTCTATGTTTAGCTTGGAAGCCTTACATACGTAAACGACAAAGCAAGTTGTTGATTAAATTACTAGATAAACGAAAGATTCCTAAGAAATCTCGCAGGGGACTGACATGATTAAATATTCTCAGTTGAGGGCATATGAAATTGAATAAAAATCTATATGGCGGATGGTTTTGCTACAGCTTAGTCATAAATGCGTGACATATTAGTTGATTCCCCGTGCAGTTCTCAGACAAAT